TTGAAGTTTATAAATCAACAACTAACAGCACTTCAAAGATTACAGAAACAAGATGGGAGCTAGCAATAGATATATATAGGTCAGAGAAACATGTTTTCACCAATGGTGGGTTTCAATTTTTTTTACTACCGGTTCATTGGGTGTGGCTTGGTGGGCATGGCTTGTGGGCGTGGCAGGGGAAGGATACTGTAAAATCTCCATTCCCTTCCCATTCCAGGGGAAGGATACTGCAAAATCCCCATTTACTCCCGATCAGCTGGGACTTGGGAGGCAGAGAATAGATGGGGATGGGGCCAGTCAGAGGTGGTATTTACCGGTTCTCCGAACTACTCAAAATTTCCGCTACCGGTTCTCCAGAACTGGTCAGAACCTGCTGAAACCCACCTCTGGTTTTCACCTTTGCTCATGATTAAGCAATAAATACTGTATAACTACATCAAAAGCATTTTTAAAAAATAAGATAAATTATAAATACACTGGTAAAAGATAGGATTACATTTAGGTTAGAGAGAGAACATATCACAGTGAACTGTCAAGTCAGAATGTTATTATTTCCTTACTGCACCTCCCCTTAAGTGTGATGTACAAAATAATTGTGCACCAATTAAGAATTAGAAAAACAGTTATAGTGCCATATAATTCCATTTGACAATATTGCAGTTGCATTCAGCAACATATACAGCTTCTAGGCCACCTTAAATAATAGTAGATCAAAGAGCATTAGAGTAATCATTTTTTGAAATTATTAAAATAAAAGTAATAGAGGTAAGAGCATCTTAGTCTAGAAAATATAAGAGTTGGTAAATGAATTGTAAGCCTTTCCCTGTAGTGACCACTTTAAATCAAGGAAGCAGTCAAATGACATTTCTTCAAAGCAGCGCTACCTCATCTATCTTCCTAATTTTCAAACTGAGAAACCAACTCTCACGGCATCTCGGTTTCAACAAGTGTTTAATTTCTGTTTATTAGCTCTTGGGCCAGGGATCATCAACTTCTGCAGACTGGAAATTCTTATATGATGGTCAAGCTCTCCTAAAATCACATGATTTTAAAAGATGCAAATATTGGGAGGTGTTCATTTGTGAGGTTAATCCTAGACCAGGGTGTCAAACTCATAGCGTCATGTTGTTGTCACGTGACATATTGTGGCTTTTCCCCCCTTCACTAAACCGGGGTGGGTGTGGCACGCATGTGATGCATCCAGCCCATGGGCCGTAAGTTTGACACAGCGGTGAAATCCGGCCAGATCTATCCGGCTTGTGCGAACCGGTAGTGCCAGTGGCGGGAGATTCTGCCCACCCGCCAGGACGTCATTACGTCCCGTTTTTGACCCTCTGCGCATGTGCAGAAGAGACACATGCTCACACTCCTGAACTGGTAGCGAAGGTTAGTGCATTTCACCGCTGGTTTGACAACCCTGTCCTAGACCAAACCATTCATTTAAACCAAGTTATCTCAGAATACTGAATTCTCCAATATACTAACATGCAAAGCAACCCACTGTGCTGTCATGGTTAAGGCATTGGACTGGTACTAGGAAAGCCCACCCTCTTGTCCACTCTTAACCATGGAAATTTACAAGATGACTTTGGCCCAGTTACTCTTTCTCAGTCCAACCTACCTTGCATAGTTTTTATATAAAAACTTAGAGAGAATACTATTAACATTGACATGAGTTCCAGGATAAAAAAACAAATAAATATTGCAGCTGTGATTACCAAAATGAAATAAAATATGGGAGCTGAGTTGTTTCACAAATGTGAAATATAGAAACAAGAATGAAAATGAAACACTCAATACTCAAAAGTTCAAAGCAAGTCAGCAGGCTGGGGAGGAAGACTAACATTTAACCCAAGAGCAAATATTGTACTGTTTAACCAGAAAATTGCTGTGTTTCAACATATTTAACACTCAATCAACAAGAATTAGGAACTTAAGGATAATGTTAATAATTATCTGGGAAATATTACATGTAGCCATTGTGACAGATTTATTAAAGAGGTGGAGGAAGAAAGGTCTCATCCAACCAGTCCCCAAACTGGTACAGAAACTAGGTGAGAGCATGTAGGGCAGAAGACTTCCAACTGAAATATATGCATTAATAAGCTGGAAGGCTGCTCTCTCTCTTTAGTGGCGAGACAAAGACAAAAGGTAGATTAAGGAACAGTAGAGATGAAGTGGGGGCGGGAACCCTGACAATTTACTTTCAGGCAAACAAATGGGAAAGTTCAGTGAAAGGGCAGGACCAAAAAAACGATGGAAACAGACATAAAAATACTGTCAAGTTTCAGTCAATTCACCGTTCAGCACATGGCAGAAAAGAGCTGAGCTGTTCTGCTTTGCATCAATTACATATGAGAAGGATTAAAGGTCAGGAGTGGTTTAATCCAAGACTTCAGATGAATGAACAAGAGATTCTTATAAACCCCAATTGTTACTCTCCCTTCCAAGGTGAGAGACACTGAAACCCAGAGCTGAACAAATTATGCTGCTGAAGCAAGCTATTTTCTTTTCTTTTCTTTTCTTTCTTTTCTCTTGGTCTCCCTCCTTTCCACCTTTGTCATTGCGAAATGGCAGAAAATTCCATTTGAGAATTCATGTGTTTCTTGCTCTTTTCCTCCCAGTTTAACAGCACAAAATTATTACAAAGGGAAGCAAGGTTTGCAAGGAAGATAGAAATAAATTTCTCTCTATTATCCTCTTTAATAAAAAGATTATAAAGTAATTTTATTATTATTATTTTTGCTTTGCATAATGTACGGTCAAAATGTGGCAGGAAATGAAATAAGAACCCCCTTTATACAACAGATAGATGTTTGCAACATGTTTTTATGAGAGAAAACTTCCAGCAATAATGAATGGCATGGTGTATTACATGTATAGTTCCCTAACCCTCTTTTGTAGTGCAGTGATAATAAACAGGGGATAGGAAAAACCATATTTTCATCAAAACCTCTATCATTTGGTTGCCAGCTTACACAAAATGGTACCCAAGGATATACTGATTACCTTTACTACAACATGACTGCTGTAAAGAAGCTCTTACCTGAATGCTGATCTCGCTGACATCATTTCTCATCAATCAGTGGTGTAAACTAAGGGAGGATTAGTACAAAAAGCCACATTCTACTTGTCTGAATTGTAGTGGCTAAAACCATTAAAACCTCATGTTTGGAAGCATTAAAACAATAGTCCTCATGTAAACATGGGATAGCATTCAGGGTAGCTGGGAATTTTGAAAATTGTACTCCATCAGGCTGAAAATGGCTTTGACAAACAAAATTTGCCTTGTTGGATGAGTTTCAATTGATCAGAAACTTTATTTCCAACACCGATCAGCCAAACAGCTTTTTAAAAGTTTGTGTTGCTAGATGACCATACCATTTAGTTTTATGGATAATAATTATCATATAATAATCAACATATATTTATGTAGAATGTCAGCTGACAGCCATCAGAAGCCATTTTCGGTAATTACAACGGAGTAGCTAAGTTGTACTTACATATTATGTAAGACATTTGTATATCTGACTAGTTCCAGGAACTCTGGTTAACTGCAATTCTATAATAAGCATAGGTCATAGTAATATGCAATATACAGTATGTAGAAAAAGGTAAAAAATCCAAACTACGTACTTTTTCTAAAGCACATTTCATAATTCTGGAAGATAAGCATCAATTAAAAATCTCATAACTACATTAATGAAACATATCCTCCTTAGCACTGTTCATTTTAGCAAAAGCTGATAATTTGTATGATTTCTGAGTCATCTCCTAAAGGGACCGCCTTATAAAAATGCTGAAATGCGTGTAACTGTTTATTTAGCCTTTACAACTGAATTAAAGGGGAATTGTTCTAATATTCCACAGTAGAAATATGGAAAATATAATACAAAACTACATGCAGAAATGATTTTCTATATTGTCTTCTAGGAATCCCAGCTGAAGTCATTTGAAAGATTTGACTAAACAACTTTTGATCATTTTAAGCTATTGATCTTCAAGTGAAATAGAGAATGTATGGTTTATATAAAGATCAAGTATTTTGTTGGCTTGTAAAGAATTATTCTTGGGAAATGAAAGAACAATGGCATGTTAGAGCAGCATTTGGGTTGATCTGATTATTCTTCTGCTGAACTGGAAATAAAAAAGACCAAACTATCTCCAAGTCAAAGATGCCAATGTCTCAGAAAGAAATATTAAGTCATAAAACCTAAACTTGGAACAGCAACTGTGCCTTGTATAAGGCTTATGTTAAGCATGCAAGTTTTTCATTCATTGTGAAAGAATACTAGATGTCCTCAAGGTTAACATGATTATCTTGAAATTTCTGCCAAAATTCTTATTTTAAGTAATACTTTTAAGACATTGCATTAATGTCCAGGAAAGCAGCATAGAAGTTGAAATTTATTACAATGGCATCCTTTGATTACACTTTATGTTCTCCTACCCTATTTCCCCTAAAATAAGACATCCCCTGAAAATAAGCCCAATTGGGCTTTTGAGCGCATGTGCTAAAATAAGCCTCCCCCCGAAAATAAGCCCTCCCCGAAAATATTTAAACACAGAGCTGGAAATCAGGTAAGATGACAAGAGGAACCCCATCTTGATCCACGCACCCCAAAATAATAAGACTTCCCTGAAAATAAATCCAAACGCCAATTTCGGGGTTCCAAAAATATAAGACAGGGTCTTATTTTGGGGGAATCACGGTAGAACAGGAGTGTCAAACTTGTTTTCATTGAGGGTCACATCAGGGTTGTGTTTGACCTCGGTGGGGGGCACCTGTGGTGGCCCAAGCGCTGGCAGAGGCACCGCAGGCCGGTCCTTCACTGTTTCCAGGGCAGCCCCGTGAACCAGATCTAAGCATCCCAAGGGTTGGATCCAGCCCATGGGCCTTGAGTTTGACACCCCTGTCCTAGAAAGTTTGAACATGGGACAGATAATAAATGGGAAAGCCTTCAAAACCTCACCTCATTGTAGCATAGAACTTTACTCACCTTTTCTTCCAGAATTACCCTGTCCTAACGGCCGGTCGGTTACTGAGCCTTAAACGAAAAGCAAATATGTTAGTATATGAGCAAAACTTCCACTGGTATCATCCAAACTACAGTCCAATCTATAGGCAAACTTCAAAGCACTATGCCAATAGTAGTAGCTAGACAACTGGATCCAAGCAATCATCGAATCCCTACACTTATTGCTTTGCCTGCCAGTTCTGTATAGGCCTGTCTTTTTGCTGGTTTAAATTTTAAATAAACTTATGAATTACAAGGACAAAAAAAAGGCAATCAGGAAAATTGGTAATGTCACCAACCTGATAAACAGCATGGCCAATGAACCATGGTAATTTGACTATTGATCAGAACCATAATTAATATCAAAACTGACACTGTAGAGCAGGGGTATCAAACTGGATTTCTTCGAGGGCTGGATCAGCATTGTAATTCTCCTCCGTGGGCTGGCCAGGGTTGGTGGGACGGATGCCTCCTGCAGCACCCTGCTGGCCAAAAAGCAATTTTGGCTGCCAGAGGCACCGCAGGCTGGTCCTTTGCTATTTCCAGACAAGCCCCACAGGCCAGATTTAAGCACCCCAGATCCGGGCCTTGAGTTTGACATCTCTGTTGTAGAGCCAATGGATATTTTTACTATAGATGTGCAACAGAAATGAGCAGTGTAGCATAAATGGTTAATTTAAGAGTTGTGCTATCCTGCTAAACCCAAACGGACTCTTCTAATCACTAATCACTTTGAAATTACCAGAATTTTTTTTCCCAGACATGGTAGGAATTCAAATTATTTCATTCTTAAGGATTTCTGTTAAACAATAAGTAACAATATACCATTTATTTATAAAAAGAAACACACTATTCAAACAGAATCAAGAAACTATTTTTTATTATCAGTATATGTTTAGCAGTACAGGTAGTCCTTGACTTACGACTAGAGTCACTTAACAACCATTTGAAGATACAACAGACTCAAAAATCTTTACTGCACTCACAATCCATCCTCAAAGTTATACCTGCTGCCCCACCCCCATGGTCACATGATTGCAGTTTGGTTGCTTGGCAACCAGCTCACTGGCTGCAGTGTCCCATGGTCACATGTTCACATTTTTCAACTTTTTTGCCATTTTCCAGCAAAGAAATGGCAAATAAGGTCCACTGGACAAGCTGGATTCTAAGTTACAACCACACTGTTTATTTAATGACCATGGTGACTACTTTTAACAACTGTTGTAAAAATGATTGCAAAATCAAGTCCAATCCAATGGTCATTCAACTTACAACTGTAACAACTAAAAGTCTTGGCTCATTTGTGATCATAGATCAAGGACTACCTGTAACTCCAATTGATATCTCTTGACTAGCAATGTTTCAACCACAAGATGGACAACAACCATGTGCAGAGTACAGTTTGGTCTGTTGAGCTGTATTAATTGAGTTTTAAAAATTATAAATGCAAAGAGCTTATTCCTTTCAAAATATGCAAACCTTTTTTTCTCTGCCTTCAATACCTGAGCATACAGGAGTTTTGTTCTGCACAGAAGAACCACTGATAGGCTTGCCATCTGGAGTGACACACCAGCAATATCCAGTGTAGGTGTGGCACTGGACCTGTTTTGAGAAAATAGATGGTTAGCTTTGCAATATGCCTCTGGTTCAGTATTAATGCAATAACTTTCATCTCTTTAAAAATACATTTTCAGGAATAAGGAAACGTATTTCATGCATATTAGTTGCTGTGCTAGTTGCTATGTTGCACAGCATGCAATATTTATAGTTCAGATATTAATATTATTTCAAGAAAAGGTACTGCTCTTAATCATTTTACAGGAAACCAGAAACCCTAATTTGTGCTGTGTGCTGTCTTTTTTATATTACTGTCAGACATTACCTTCCAATTTTATCCACCAATACTTAGTGGATGCATAACCACATAACCATGACATGCATAACCATCTTATTAAAGACTTGTCTGCTGCATTTTTATGATGTAATAAGCTTGATTATATTTTGTTGCTCAGTGTGCTGCTTGATCCCCGTTGCAGAAATAATAAATGATGATGTCCTGAAAATCTCTTTTTAGCTACCCTTGTTTCCCCGAAAATAAGACCCTGTCTTATACTTTTTTGAACCCTGAAATAAGCACTCGGCCTTATTGCCATGCACTCAAAAGCCCGACTGGGCTTATTATCAGGGGATGTCTTATTTTGGGGGAAACAGGGTATATTTGTGCAACTGAAAGCAAGTTCTTAGAGTGAGTAGATATAGGATCCAATCTGGGTTGGTCACTGGGACCGGAGGTTTAATTTTTCAAGCTTTCAGACTCATGCTGGAGCCCATCCTCAGGGAACTTCTCTCTAGCAGAGTGTGTGCTTTGGCCTATTCTGTGTGTGGTATTTATATGGTGCCTCTTGTGTGTGACTTTTTAGTTGTTGATTGGGGTGTTAATAGCAAACGTCTGCCTATTACACCAAGGCAAAAGCTTGTCCACCACAAGTATATCAAATTGAGCAATGTGATATCAGCACTACAATACAGTGAGACATGTACAGATTGTATATTGGAGAAACAAAACAACCATTTCACAAATGCATGGCACAACATGCCCATCAGGACAAGATTCAGCAGTTCATCTGCTTTTGAAAGACAAAGGTCACTCTTTTGAAAATAGCAAAGTCCACATTCTGGACAGAGAGGACTGCTGGTTTGAAAGAGGGGTCAAAGAGGCCATCTACATTAAGATTAATAGTCCTCTCTCATCAGAGGGGGGGGATATGACTCCACCTATCTCCTGTTTATAACACAATCCTTCTCAGCAGTTCTGAGAAGGTTCCACATCCATTTGCATTATTCAGGTGACCCTGAGGGCACAGGTGCCTCAATGACTCTCAGAAAAAATGCCAATGACCAGATGATTGCAAGGAATATAAATCCTTTCATCCGCCATCATTCAGTCAGAATTGAAGAAGCTTCTTGGATGAGAAGTGAAACATCTTCAAGGAAAAACAAAGTCCAGTTGCCTTTTGAAAAAGGACCTTTGGGACACCCGAAGGCCTAGTTCTTCCCCAGTGTGCTATGTTATACAAACCTGCTGTAATTATGAGAGTCTGTATCTAGCTCCCACTTACTTAGCACATACAGGAAGGCAGGGAGGGAGGAAGACATTGTGAAGTTTCCTTTTCAAAATTCACGAACACTTCCTGAGCAGTGGTGGGTTTCAAAATTTTTTACTACGGGTTCTGTGGGTGTGGTTTGGTGGGCGTGGCTTGGTGGGCATGGCAGGGAAAGGATACTGTAAAATCTCCATTCCCACCCCACTCCAGGGGAAGGATATTGCAAAATCCCCATTTCCTTCCAATCAGCTGGGACTTGGGAGGCAGAGAATAGATGGGGGCAGGGCCAGTCAGAATTTTTACTACTGGTTCTCTGAACTACTCAAAATTTCCACTACCTGTTCTGCAGAACTGGTCAGAACCTGCTGAAACCTACCTCTGTTCCTGAGCCATTAGAGCCTCAAATTTTCTGGGCCAACTGCCACACATCGTCTTAATTATTTGTATAGTCTATCAGGTATCTCCATAAAATATGTGTGCATGTACAGGTAACATTACAAAATATAAATGTCAGACACTGCTTCAACCACAATTGTTTATGGATTAAGACATTTTCCACCATTTCTTACATTAGTTAAGTGTGTAAGAGAAAGTATGAAAGTTTGAAAATTGTAATAAAAATCTTACTTGGGTAAATGATCCATCCTCATGACACTCTGGAACGAAGACCGCTTCTTGTGGCTTCTTCACTTGATCCAGTGCTTGGGCTCTTTCTAATCTGCATTTGCTCTGACCAGCATCTATGAAGAAAATCCATTCAGAATTTAAATAAAGATAAGCAATATATCAAAAGCATATGACAATTCAATGAAAATAACTGCAAAGGAAGAACTTAAACAATCCTGCTTTGCTGAACATTTATTTATATACAGAGCCTTCAAGACATTTTTAATTATTAACCCATCAGCGTGTCAAATAATAAGGTGCTTTTTCAAGAGGCAACTCTAAAAGAATGCACATGACCATCTGTCTGCAAGGAATATAAATTCTTCCATTCACCACCATCCACCATTTAAATCCTGAGTTAAGTCTTAGGGTCGGTGGCCATAAAAGGTATTTCAGGGAGGGTCCATGGTGAAGAAAAGGTTGAGTTCTAAGCTATTCAGGTGTCCTTCACCTTTCAAACTTAACCTTTCCAGAAAATAAGACATGACAAATTCTACCAATTAGAAGATTGTGAAAGATTAAGAATGGTATCTTAATTCCCAATGTTTGTCAATGGGGATTGATCACCATGATGCTCTGATCTTACATCATTAATTTGATTTGAAAACAACAGTTGTTTCTGTGGCACATTAGCTTGCAGCCCTTAAAAAAGTCTCATATTCTGTCGATCAATAGCAATAGGACTAGGTGTATTGTTAATATGATTTATTGGGTTAGGGATTTTCTGTCTTCACTGTGAGCTATATTGTGTTGGGAGGGGTGCATTGAGGGAGCTTGACCAATCTCATTGTACATATGTTGTGCACTGACCATAAAGATTTGAAATTTGAAATCATTATTTTAATCCTTTACTCTCTTATTAACATACTCAGCCTCCTTTCTAGGCACTTTTATTTGCCAAAGATATCTGAATAATTCTTTTTAGGCAAACACATACCGTGTTTTCCCGAAAATAAGACAGGGTCTTATTTTCTTTTGAATCCCAAAATAAGGGCTTGGCCTTATTATCGGGGGGGTCTTATTATTTTGGGGGTGCTCATGGTTGCTGCTGTGTTGTGCTGCTGTGGCAGTGCAACACAGCCACTTGTCAGCTGTTCGCCCAAGGCCGTGCCCGCATCCTCACATCCCTGCACCCAGCTCTTCGGGAGCCCACTCGTAAGAGAGCAGCCACCGGGCATCTCTTGCCATGTGGTGCCCACCAGGTGGCCTGCGCACTCACAGATGGGAGTCTGGAAGAGAGAGGTTCCCTCCGCATGCCGGCATCAAGTCCCTCCTCTCCCATGGGGGTGGGTGGGATGCAAGCAGCCCGAAGGCACCAAGCCGTGTGAATGTCTGTCTCCCCCCCCCCTGCTTGCGCACCTCCCAGTCCTCACCACATCGATGTGGGTGAAGCCAGTGAGCACCCAGCTGGAAGCGGAGAAGAGGCCGGTCGGGCCAGCTGCCTGCTGCCAAGTCTTCCAGGAGCCGGGGCAGCCGCATGGAGCTGCAACCATAGACTGAAGAGCCTTGATAGTACAGGGGTTTAAGGCACCCTGTTATTAAGCTGGTTATTAAGACCAGCTGCCTGCAATTACTGCAGGGTTCAAATCTCGCCAAGGCTCAAGGTTGACTCAGCCTTCCATCCTTTCTAAGGTAGGTAAATTGAGGACCCAGTTGTGGGGGCAATAAGCTGACTTTGTATAAATATACAAAAGGATGAAGGCTATTGCTGAGCACATTGTAAGCCGCCCTGAGTCTTCGGAGAAGGGCGGCATATAAATCAAATTAAAAAAAAAAAACTGGGAAGTGCACTCCCAGAGCGGCCACTGCCAGAAGACTCTCTGCGTCGGCAGCTGGCCCAACTGGCCTCTTCTCTGCTTCCAGCAGCTTCCAGCGGCTTCCAGCCAGGGTTTGGAAGCTGCAGAGGAAGACATCCTCAGTGCTGGGATGGCGGTGGCACAGACTTCTCAAGGACCTGGTGCTCATCTGTTCGCATTGTGATCCTGGGATACTGCTCGGTTGGTGAGTGGCACTCTGCCTGGCCAGAGAGAGGGGTTTTTGCCGGGTGGGCACCACGTGGCAAGAGGTGCCGGGCGGCTGCTCTCTTGTGAGCGGTGTGGGAGTTTTCAGGTGAGGGGGATGGATGGATGGATGGATGGGTGGATGGATGGGAGGCAGGCAAGTGCCAAAAACACTGGGGAGAGATAAAACAGAGAGGCTGCTCCCGATCAGCTCTGCTGATCCGCAGTCATGATTAAGGGGCCCAGCTGCCATTAGCTGACCAGGGAAGGGAAGGGCTGCCTCACTAGGGCTTCTTTTCGGGGGAGTGCTTATATTTACGCCCACCCCAAAAATCAGGCTTGGCCTTATTTTCAGGACATGTCATATTTTCGGGGAAACACAGTATTTCCAATTTATCTATCTAGCTTAAACAGCATCAAATTGAGTTATGAAAAAATACACCTAATATTTCTATCCCACATGAAAAGAAGTGCCTTTTTAAATTCCTTACCTTTACATCTGCCTCGATGTGCCACATTCAGATTGGAATCCTTGCACTTTGCTCTCTGATAATCACACATTGATTCGTAAGTCCTGCCATCGGAAGCGCAGAGAGGCTTGACAGCAGATCTGGAGCACTGAAGGTTACATTGAGGGTCTTGGTCGTGGTCACTTATTAAAAACTAAAGACAGTAGAATAGGTGGGGAAAAAATGTAAATTTTAAAAACAATCTATAGATTTTTTTAAAAAGTACAGTGAATTTGAATGCATCTTATGTTATATATTATAATTATCAACTATATTATACTGGCCCCCGCTTTGACATTCTTTCGGAAGGCCCTGAAGATGTAGCTTTGCCAGCAGGACTCAGGAACCCAGAGTGCGATGGAGCCCAACAAATGGCTTATTTAATCGTGTGCTGTCGCCAGGATGTGTGGGTGAGGGGTTTATTGTTTTTTTATTTTTATTTTTCCTATTTTGTGTTTTTACTATTTGTAAGCCACCTAAAGTCACTGTGAGCGAGTAGGTGGCTATATAAATTCTGAATAAAATAAATAGTATATAGCCATGATGGCAAACCTATGGCATGCATGCCACAGGTGGCGCACAGTGCCCTCTCTGTGGGCATGCTAGCTGTTGCCCCAGTTGAGCTCTGCCACGCATCCATGTGCACCTCCCCTGGCCAGCTGGTCATTGGGTCTCTGCCACGCATGTGTGGGGCGTGGGGGGTGCGCGCATGCACGGAGCCGTGGGCACGTGCGGGGGGGCGCACGTGCATGCATGAGGTGGGGAACATGCATGGGAGCCTTGTCCACATTGCATTTGGGCACTTGGCCCAGAAAAGGTTAGCCATCACTGGTATATAGTATAATTTTACTGAAAATTTTGAATAGAATAAAAGATAGTACAAACCAGAAGAGAAAAAAGAATGCAAGAGAAAAAAGAAAAAGTGGCCATTTATATTATTAACTATTATATAAATATCTCATTAACTATTATACTTTTATATGTTCTCCATCCTTAAAACTCAGTAATAATTCTAGGCCAGTAAACTGGGATAAGCACCACAGCTTGTAACATAATCACAGAAGGCTAATTTCAAAAGCAAATTTCCCCACCAAATCAAAACAATGTCAACATTTTTATTCTTTTCTCTATGAGGGATCCTTGGCATTCTGAGCTTGGTTGCTTTTTTACAGATATTTCATTGCCTACATAGTAGGTAACATTAAAAGTGCAACCAAGCTCAGAGAGCATCAAAGACCCTTATTTCAACTCTGAGCTACAAATATTCTCCTTTACCTTTTCTCTATCCACTATTATTGTTTCATTGGGAACATTTACATTATCTAAAACTGTACATACTTTTCGAGTGTAAAGTGGCTAAAATGGTGCTTAACTGTTCCAAGCTTATTGGCATGATTTTTTAGATGTTGAAATTTGTCTACCTGAAATATGCACTTTTGACAAGTTAGACTAAACATCTTTTTTCACTTCAGTTATTTTTGAAACATTGTGATGGACAGAATTAAAAACTGACTATATTGCATGTCAATCAGTTTCTTTAGAGAAAGTCTCCTGCAACAGTGGACAGAAGACATGCAAAGTTCACACTTCATATGATTCTTATTCTGCATGTTCATTTGCTATTTCTAATCTCAAGATTTTACAAATTGCCAACAAATATTGGCCAGGGTACTTTCTTTTTCTTTAAATAGAATCTCTTGTAAACCCGTAGGCACTTCACATTTGAAAAGATTAAATATTTTTGCAGCTTCATAAAAGTGACGCAGTTATCGGTAGTCAGATTAAGAAAATAAACTGTATTTCCTTAAATTATAAACTGGGCTACTGACCCAAGCATCTATAGCACAGCAAAATTCTAAATGTTTTATAGCAGCAGCAAACTTTTTTCTACAAACTTAATTCCTTGATTGGATAGAAGTGCATATGGGGAATCTTTGGCTTGGCTCAAGTCACCTACTCTATGTACAAATAATGTCCTACATTCTGATGGAACTGTGCAATATTTTGGATTTTATTTCAACAGGATTCTTGAAGAAGTATGAGAGAATAACAGGACCTGTTTAAAATGCTTTACTGTTTTTTAAATTTCTGCATGGTTCTTCAATTCTGAATACAACTTTGAAAAAAATGAAATTGCCAATTAAAGATGTGGCCCTTGGTATTTCAAATCTTGAATTATATCACTAATATATGCCTTCTGGTATCAAATTCTGAACATTTTAATTTATTGTGGATTTCTCCTTCCTTCCTCCTTCTCCTTCAATTCCTCCTCCTCCTTCAATTGGCAAAACTGAACAGATGAGATTCATATTTTAATGTTAAATTTTTAAATATGGTAACTTTAATCCTTTCTATGTGTTATGAGACAAGGAGAAGTATTCTAAAAAAAATTCTGTCTCATGTTGGCCTATAGCCAACACAAGTTTAAGAATAGCCTTTATAGGAGTCCAAAAACTCCAAATTTCATGGATGCTTCAATTTAGTATACGGAATATAAATTGCATGGGAAACCCTCTTTAAGTAAAAGAAGCCTTCTCATCACTTCAAATTAGTTTTTCAATAGAAGCCCGAGCAAAGAAATGTTTTGACACCAGAAAAATAACACCCTCGCCAGTGCACTCACATCTGGTTATTGTAACTGAATATCTCCTGCTAGAGAATAACCTTAATACCAGATTTTACAATTGTTCACTTTCTATTCAAAGTGCACCAGTCCTTGGGTGGCAGTTAGAGGAGAGGAACTCTTTGGGAAACCTTCCAAGATAACAGCTGCCCTTAAACCCCTTCCTTTTCAACATGCATTTACACAGGTGCATATTTATGGCCACTTTCCAGACTAATTCCAGCCTCCTTTGACCTGGGAAGAGAGCAAATGCAAGATAAGAGAGGTCAGCCTAAAGTTAAATATTCCCCCCCAAGTCCATCTGCTCCATCTTTCCACACCTCAGCACCACTGCTGACAACAACAACAAACACTGATTAAAGAACTTCAAATGTCTATGAGAAAAGGGCAGATTACTTGCAGCTGTTCAACAGCTGGAACCACTTTTAGAATTTGACTCAGGATGGATCCATCCCCATAAAGAAGAGATGTTTAGCAGTTCCTACCCATGCAGATCATAACATACAACTAAGGAGCATATATGAGCTTTTGTGAAATTATAATCAGGTGCCCCAAAGCCTCTGCACTACAGCAGAGCCAAGTATGGATCAATCCCTACCATTCAAGAAGGAAAGTGGATGTGTTGGATTAAAACAAAACATAGGAACCATGTTTGAGGAAAGAAAATAGAAGAAAAGCAGTATGTTTTAGTATTCCTCTTCAGTATTTAAAAACAGAAAATTTAGCTTTTAACAGCTGACAGATACTAAAGGTTTGCAACAAGCCTTTCCTGTTGCTTGATTCACTGAAGTACTTGCAAATCAAAACTATCTTCTTTTATTGCCTCAATCTCCTTTGCAACTGTACCTTACTGCTTCACTATCATAAACCTGTAGGAATGGGTGAGTTGTTTGCCTATTCCTTAATAAAAGGAAATATGTTCCTCTAGGTCAGTATTTCTCAACCTTGGCAACTTTAAGATGTGTAGATTTCAACTCCCAGAATTCCCCAGCCAAGAATTGACCTGATGTAGCTGCCAACACTAAATCTTTTCCTAGTTTGGAGCTATTCTGTTTTATTTTAGTAAAATGATTAATAGAAAGGGAACATTGGGTGAATACAGATAGATCACTCAAGGGTTTGCTGTACTGTTTAGAAACAAAAATATAACTATTTATTGTTCAGTTTAAAAAGTCTTCTGAAGCTTGCATTTCTTTAACTTGAATAAAACATATCACTTGATAAAATAATATTGCAAACTACTCTATGTACTTTTTAGTTTTAGAGAAGTCTCCAATAGATAAGCTTTCAGAAAGGAGTCAGGCCTGGCTTTAGTAATACTTGGTTAGGAGCCATATTTGCTTGGGTAAATGGGATCTATCACTCCAAGAAATTTAACAAAAGAAAATACCTTAAAATTAAAATACCTTAACATAAGATAATGTTCATTTGCTTTGTTAAAGTTTTTGGAGTGATAGCTTCCATTGAGCCATAACAAGCCTTAAGATAAATTAAGTTAGCCTTGTATATATAAACACATGCTAGATACCTCTCTTCCATATGGCTTCCGATGCAAATTTATTGGCCACATGATGTACAAATAATAGAACAGTCTAGGTATTTTCTGGATGAATGTGAAGTTATTCTATACAAAGAACTTTCTATTTGCTGTTCATGCATACAGTAGCTCTCTCAAGTACACAAGGGTATAATATCAAAACTTAGATCAGCCTTTCCAAGCTGGTAGCATACAATGGCACTCGGACCAACTTCCACTCTTCCTAGTTTTTGTTCACACTCACTGAGAATGCTGGATGTTAGAATACTAGCAAATATAGTATATACAATAGCAAGGCTAGCTCACATGTTGGGTAGAAAGTACAATCCTGTACCATCACAATGGACCCACAAATGCTATGTTATCTATTGCTCCCTCCAAATGGTCATAAATTAAATTACAATTAAAATATTTTTTCTAAAAAAAACATTGTGGTCAAAATCTTGCTAGATTTCTCCTGAGATTTTGAATAGTTTAGGAATGGAAGCAAGTCATCATATTTGCATGCTGTGTTTGAAGATGCCTGTGATCTATTGGAGTTCGGATGCAAATGTGTATGAAAACCATTGTATTTTTATACCGATTTTGAAAGAGTTATTGCAATATAAAATATTTATATTTGAGAAGTTTCCTTTCTACTTTCATTTTTAGGCTATTTCTAGACATGTATTTTAATGGATTCCTCATATGTTTGCCCTTAGAGAGTTTACCAGCAACTGTATCATTCTAGTCTTACAATACAGGTAGTCTTCAACTTATGACCACAATTGAGCCCAAAATTTATGCTGCTAAGTGAGATATTTGTTAAGTGAGTTTTGCCCATTTTACAACCTTTCTTGCCACTGCCGAATCACTGCAGTTGTTAAATTAATAGTATGATTGTTAAGTGAATCTGGCTTCCCCATTGACTTTTCTTCTCAGAAGGTCTCAAAAGGTAATCACATGACCCCAAGACACTGCACAATATGAGTCAGATGCCAAGTGTCTGAATTTT